CTTCCCTTTTAAGAGGTAATATTTAAAATTAAAAGGTATTTTTAAAACTAAATTCCTTCCTTCTCAGATTGTCTTTTCCATCTATTTCTTTCACTCAGTTGCTTAAGTTTGGTGTCCCTGGATGTGGAACAAATAACACACATTAGACTGACTGACGAATGATGAATAGGGCTACTCAGTGCCAATCATGTCTGAATATGTAGCTTTTTATTCGACCATCCACATGGGAAGCACATTAAAACATGACGACTCATAGCCCCGACTGTCCCACCCTGTAGCTTTATGCTTGCTCTAGAAACCTGGCATCTTACCATAATAGACACTTCTGCCCTAAACCATTTCCTGATGGGAATGAATGAACAGTCAAGAGTTTTTAACAGCCCTGGGTGTAGTGCTGCCAAGAAGAAGGAAGCAAATGACTCACTTTATGGGGGGACCCTAACCTTTGCAGGTCACAAGGGACTTATTCAGAAAACCTACTCCTGGAGGATTAAATTGCACCCTCGTGGTTTCCAAAACTGTGACTAGAGAAGTTAATTATCTACCAAGAATATAAGCAATTCTTTCCTGTTTTCACAAAGAGGCTCAAGGCCATTATTTTCAGTTTTATACCTTGGATTTCAAGAACTCTTGAACATATAATGTAAAATGCATAGAATCTCCATGTGTAGGTTTAAAGACACACTTGAGAGAGTTAAACCTCTCGGTGCTTGAGATGGTCTCAGTTGAGTTTATTTTGCCTTCTGATTCTCAAAATGTCAAATGCATTTTTTTCACTGTTGCAAAAACAAAACAAAACAAAAAAAAACATTGGGGGGTGAGGTACCAAACCAAACTAAACCAAACCAAAAATATGCAAAACAAACAAACAAACAACAACAACAACAACAACAAAAAAAAAACAACACACACACAAAACAATTGGGGAAGCTTCCAGGAACCTTTGGATCCTGACCATTTTTGTCTTTAAATCTAGGAGCTGTGTGCAATTTTTGAAAGTCCAATGCCAAATGTATCCACCTTCTTCTTTTCAGAAAAGCACATAAATGACTTCTGTAGGTTAAAATGAATATCAGAGGGGAAACAGCAATTCTACCCCAGGCTGAAAAAAGAAGTCTTGATAAAGCAACAGAAAAAATGCAGTAGATTCCATAACATCCTTCCCTGCTCAACTTCTTGATTTTGATAATATGGAGGCATCAGAAGGAAAGGTGTTAGGTAACTGATCTTCCACACTTAGTGCATACTGCCAAGACAAAACCCCCACATGTGGCCCAGGGGTTACCCCAATCACTGCACAGGCTCTGACTTTGTGATCTCATGGAAGTCACAAAGCCAGGAGAAGAGAAGGTCATCTCCTCTGAGTTCCCTCCTTCCCCAGGAAGCAGATCACTTCTAAAAGGGACAGTTACCAAAGTCTCCATGTGCTCTGCCCTGACAATCTTTCTCCTCTTAAGGAGGAAAACATTTTCCTCCTTCACAGTCTTGTATCCATGTACAATTAAGTCCTCTGTTTTTCTAATAAAAAAAAAAATTATGGCCAAAAAAAAAAAGGGTGGGTGGGTGGTGTGGTAGAAAATGTTAATTACAAAAAGAGTAGAAAAATTAAACCCAATTTGCAGATGGAAGAAGAATCCCCTGTTCCAGTTACAGGTTGTACAGGGGCAAACCTGAGAATTATTTATATATAAATGTCTGTATAATACTCTAAGACAGAAATAAGAGAAAATTTTAAAAAAATAGAAAATAAGAGTGGTCGTAATCATCTCTCACAAGTAAGTTAACTTATGTCAAATCTGATAGGTTTCATGATTTTTTTCCTGGGATGTTTCACTAATTCCTAGGAATAATTTATTTTGCTTATACAGATCACAGCTATAACTTAGTGAAGATTGCATATTTAGCACCTGAACCAACCCCACAATTTATGCTTTCAGACAAACTGTAGCGTACACTGGAGACAGAGCTAAGATCTTCTGACCTGAGAGCACCTAAAGGCCAGAAATGATCTGGACCTAGATGTCTTGAAGTCTTGTTTAGTTAAGTAGTAAAACACACTGAAGCTCACTAGAATGCCCAGGTTATTCATGCAACCCAGAAGGCAAAGCCCACAGAGTTGCTGAAGAAATCATAAACAAAACATGTTCTAAAGTAACACAGACCCTTGGAGAGATTTTCCAAATGGTCTGATCATACAACAAATGCCAACTATGACAGATTCTTGACTTTTTTAGAGAGTTACAGCAATCTGCTTTAATTTTGCATACTGAGACTACAGCTTTGGAAGTTGTTTCCCTCCCTAAGAGGAGAAAGATTGTTAGGGTAGAGCACATGGAGACTTTGATAACTGTCCCTATTAGAAGTGTTCTACTTCCTGGGGAAGAAGGAAACCCAGGGGAGATGACTTTCTCTTCTCCTGGCTTCTGTGACTTCTGTGAGAGCACAAAGTCAGAACCTGTTAATATGTTCAAGGATAACCACATTCAAATTTCTTTTAATTGTACCCTTGCCTTTTCCTACAATTAGCCAGTGTTTTGACCTTTTAGATATTCTGGTTTTTTTTTTAAATTTAATAACATTTGTATATGGAAACTCAAGACAAAACTGTTTAAAATCCAATATAACCTACCTAGGATCTTTATTTTCTATTTTTATTTTTTGATATTGGGGATTTAACCTAAAGGTATTTAATCACTAAGCTATATACCCAGCACCTCCTTTAAAATTTTGAGACAGGGTCTCTTAAAGTTGCTTAGGGCCTTACTAAGTTTCTGAGGCTAGCTTTCAACTGGCAATCCTCCTGCCTCAGCCTCCTGAGTGGTTGGGATTACAGGTGTGTACCACCCTCCCCATCTAGCATCTTTAAATTGTGATCTATGGTTAAGTTTCATAAAATAAATGAAGCCCTTGAAACTGATGTGAAATTTACATGGGTGCTCCTGGGGTACATGTTGACAGAATGAGGACTTCCTGCTGTTCTTTCGGGCAGGTGAATAGTACTGGACCTTTCAATAACATGCCCCACATTTGTCTACAAACCCTAAATACTTGTATTTTCATCATAGGTTTTCATTTTCAAGGATGAAATGAAAATAGATATTAACATGCAAATATGCATTTATGTTGCAGAGAAGCACAGGGTCCCCATGCTATGGGTTGTGACAGACCCATTTCCACTTCGAAGGAGGTCACAGTGGGGCTCCATGTGGAGTGAACTTGGGTGGTGACTGTGGTCTCAGAGACACAGTATAGAGCTTTCAAGCTTTTCATTATACTTCATTTTCTATCTGACTTAATTAAAAACAGAAAACATGAATGTCTATGGTTACCTACTTCCCACTGGTCTGAAGCAAAATCTGTTACTGAGCTTAGTAAACATTTAAAGCAAGGTACAGAGGAAATACTGACAGGCTTTACAAATATAGCACACATACCACACAGTACAGTTTAAAGGATTTGCTTCAATAAATGCTAATTCTCCCATTTTTCTTTCCACCCATCATCTGCTACTGGGTTTGTCCTTAAAAGCTCTCAAGTTAATGAGTCTCTGTGTGCTCATCAATTTACACAAACTTCAACTTCAAATGAACGGTGAATGAATAAATAATACATACATACATAAGGTATAGGATAATCAAGTACATTTCTAAAAGATGATTTTTAGTCTTTAAATTTCTAACTACATTGTGATTATCACGACAAAATTTTTATAATATTCCAAAATTGCTGGTAGAAGGCTTTAAACATCATATTAATCTCTCCACGTATTAAGGACTCAGCATATAATTTTTAACTTACTCGACACTAACATTTAAGCACAGATGTTCCCCTATTTGTGTACATGTGCTCTGTGCACGTCCTAACAAAATGCTGGATATTTCTTTTCTGGCTGAAAGTGACAAGCAGAAAATGATGGGAGAAGGGCAGTTAGCAACGTCATATGAAAACTAAAGTTCCCCAGGTCTGCACCTCCATTTCTTTTTTGCCTTAGAAAACTTACAGCTATGCTGATACCTATGTTAGCTAAAGATTGATTTAGTTGGAATCAACATGCTACATTGGCTAGAAATGGATTGGCTAGAACCTCCTCTTGTCAACACTGGTTTATCTGCCACTAAACACCCTTAAGCTGCTGTCCATTTCATCTCCAATGATCACTGTTTCTTATTGAACATCCACTGACCTGCCGCCACATAGCAGTGGGTGAAAATTCAACTTGGTGACAAAACCACACTCCTTACATAAGAGCCTCATCATAGGAATGTTCTTCCAAAGAATTCTATATGGAAGTAAGTTTTAAGGAACATCAGGAAGCTCTAATATTTGACTGAACCATTCAGAAATGAGAAAGGACAGGGAGTTGGTGCTATAGGTACTGTGACATTATTTTGCTCAATTAAATATTAAGAGTCTGAGCAAGAAGCGGTAGATACAAGCATGAAATAGAATTCGGTATTGATAAGAAGACTGCAATCATGAGAAATCACGGAAAAATCAACATTAAACTGGCACACAGACAAACAGACAGATGCACATGTAAATGGTTCCTAATTCTTACCAGCACTTCGAAAATGTTTAACAGTAGAGAAAGTCAGAATATTATGATGCTAATGGAAAATTTAGACAAAGTGTATATATAAAAACACCAAAAAATCTCAGAATTATAAAGAAAGGTTTGGTTATTTTTCTCTCATCTTTAAAACATTTCAATTCTTAGTAATTAGGGTCTGCTAAGTTTTTCCAGATGAGGCCTACAATAGACACTTTATTTAAAACAAATAAATAAGCAAACAAACCATATCCAGTCTGGTTTAACTTTATAGAATTCCACATTAAATCCAGTTTCTCTCCAGACTACAGAAAACACTGAACAGGCAGGAAACAGTGTCATCCTCTGGGAATCAGAAACAGGACCTTGGCAGTTACAGGCGGGAAGGCTCCACCCATACTTGGCTCTTATTCCATGAAGCTGGGGGAAGCTTTACTCTGAGCCTGACCAAGTCAGAAGCAGGAAGCACACGACTGAGGGAGCTGGTTACCATATGATGACAGCCTGGCTTGAGTCCTACCTAATTTTGGTAGCTCAGAGGCCTCCAAAGGGGATGGAAACTAACCACATGTGATGCAGCTCTCGAGAGGAATTCAGCTTTTCTGGGGGTAAACAAAAATATAAATCCTTGATTTTCTAAGGAAACTTTTAAGACAGTAAAAGAGTTAAGTAAGGGGTTGGTGTTTAGAAGAGTCACTGGGCTTCAACGGAGCAGAGATTAGCCTCAGTCCAAAAATATGGCTGGGTTCTATTTCTTTCCTAGTGAAAATTAAAATTTTAATTATTCCCTGGGTTCAATCCCCAGCACCACAAAAATAAATAAATAAAATCTTGATTGTTATAATTATAAACATATGTAAGGATGTATATATGTGTAGATTTTTTTTTTTCTAGTACTAGGGATTGAACCTGGGGACTGATGTATGTTAGGCAAGCATGCTACCCCTGGGCCACATCCCCAGTCAAAACAATACACTTTTTGTTTGGATGTTCAGTTTATCCACCTATGGGTACGTGGTTAATTCGAAAGGAAACCTGGAACATAAGACATAAAGACACAACACAGGGACTTACCAAATGAAATTCACAGTAGAACAAGGAATAGTAAGCCATACAAAAATATAACCTCATAACATTTTCAAGTTTGGATTCAAAAATATAGATAAAGTACAAATTAAACCTGAGTGTCAAAGAAACTGAATATAATCTATGTTTTTTTTTTCCCCCCAGAATCTCAGATTTGCAAAGTCTAAGAATATACGGTAGAATTTGGTAAGGGTTAAGGGGATGACTATTTCAAGTGATAACATCTATAGAATTTACAGGAAAAAATACTTTCATTAATTTATCCAAATATATTTACTAATATATAGAAAAGATATTTATTGAAAATTTTATATTTTCTAGGCATTATGTGTAGGACAGTTCAGAAATATTTCCTCATGGTTCCAATTACAAGATGTCGCCTTCCTTATATAATCACTGAACAGTTCTTGATTCATGTCTTTTAATAGCAATGTATAAAAGTCCCTCCAAATGGACTTAAAATTTCCTTACACTTTCCAAAGTGCAGAGCTAAGTTCGATGCCAAGCCATATATTAAAATTTAAACAAACATTCAAAGATGGTATCCTCACAAAAATGGCAGGCAACACTATGGGATTTGGGGCTTGTGACTATCTAACTTCACTTTTTATTACCAAGGGGAGATTTGTGCATTTCTGAGGTAAGAATTTAACAGGAATCCTCTGATGAATACATAGCAATATGATTTCACTGATGGTGAAAAAGTCCTTCCTAATCCAGTCTTAAACTTTTATTTCAAATAAACATGCTTTCTAATTCCTATGACATGATCAACAGGCCCATGACAAAGCACCAGTATAGCTAATCTAAAATCGTCCCCTTGCATGAATCATGAAGCTCTGCCAAACATTCTTGCTACAGCCTTTCCTGTGGTGGCCCATGAGATTCAACTGAAAGACTCTCTGTGCACCTGTTAAAGGTTCTGTTCAGCCCTCATCTTATTTTTTTCAGACTATCAATGACCATTGAGTAAAGACCTTACTTCAGGAATTGGACGTTCAGCTACACCTTTTTACAGCAAGTCTCTTTTTAAAGATCTGGTCTAGATACTCACCATGCTGCTCTGCTCTTGCAAACAATCCCCACAGCTCCTCCCCTCAAAGCATGCTTCCCAGAGAAGAAGAAGAACCAAGGAACCTATTATTTGCAGACTTAGAAGTGCCTGAAGAGGACAGGGATTTTTTTTTGCTAATACAAAATGAAAATGCTAATGTGGATATTCAGTTTCAAAAGCTCTTTGTTTTGAGAAGTATGGTCTAGTGAGAAGGTACTGCAGTGGGAAACTGTGATAAATGGCTCCATCCTGTCCCTTACTTGTGGTGTCACCCTGAACCAGCCACAATCTCCCGGGATGCTACTGATGTCATTGGGACAATGGGGTCAATACTGTCTTGACCTGGAGGAATGCCAACAGCTCTTTTCTGGCTCCTCAAGGGTTTCTGCATTATAACCTCACAAGGAAAATAAACATACTGAGGAAAATCAGCATAAGTGGGTGGCTTTTTAGTTTAGTTACATAACATATACACAGACTCCCATTTCTGGTCAAAATCCAGGAAGAGGAACTGGATTTATCTCCCGTCCCCTCACCTGAAACAACTAACAAATTGATTAAATACATGGAACAGATCCTTCACAAGGTACCAGACCTAGGTTAAAGGAGTGAGCCCTGAGTTTCCAGGCCATAGCTCAAGGCAGAGAAAGTCAGGCAGAACCTGGAGGAATCCTGGGCAGCTCTGGAGAGATCCAGGGAGCTAGAAGTCACAGCACAGAGGACAGAGTATTGGTAGAAGAGAGCGGTTCTCAAAAAGAGAACCAAGAAATGTGCAGAGGGTGATCCTTGAAATTGTAGCTGAGTCACGATCATTACATGCATGTGGAAAAAACAGAGGCTGGGGGAAATTCACCAAAGAGGATATTTATAGGTGTACAAAATATGTAGACTCAAAATGCTGAAATTCACAATGTTTGACCAATCAATAAAAAGTTACTACATATGAAATGATTCAGGAAAACAGCACACAGAAGGAAGAAATATCAATCACAACTGATCCGTACTTGACACAGTTAGCAAACAAAGATATTCAAAGTTTTTGTAACGTTCCATAGGTTCAAAAGTTAAAATATAGAACATATTGGGGATGGGGGAGCCCAGAGTGAATATATAGACATGAAAATTATGGTAGGAGAGATGAGATGAAAAATGGTCAGAAGGATTGTAGGGTAGTAGGAAGTACATCATGGAACATCATAATTAAATGGCTCAAAATTAGTGATAAATAAAATCTTACAAGGAAAATCTTACAGGATAATAATAAAAAAGACATGTTATTTATAGAGACATAACGATAAGTATTATCACCTTTCTTATTCAAAATAACACAAGTAAGAGATCATGGAACACATCTTTAAAGAAGAAAAGGGGGGAAAAAGCCTCAATCTAGAATTCTACACCCAGCAAAAACAGCTTCCAAAGTCAAAGGTGAAATTAAGGTATTTTTAGACATTAATAAATTAAAAACAAGAAAAGAAATTTAAAAGAATTCATCACCAACCTACAGGCAATCCAAGCCAAAAAAAAAAAAAAAAATTCCATCTTCAACCTACATGTTCTTCAAGGCATTTTAAGAGGAGTCCTTTGGGCAGAAGCAAAAATGATACCAGGTGCATTTGTACAAAAAAAATTAAGAGCATCAGAAATGGTGACCGTATGTAAACATGTAAACATGTGAACTTTTTTTCTTATTATTTCCTGAACAATGCAATTTAACAACTATTTACAATGTATTAGGCATTGCTAATTAATCTAAAGATGATTTAAAGTGAACAGGATGACATGTGTAAGTTTGTATGTGTAATTTGACATGTGTAATTTGCAGATACTATGTCTTTTTTTTCCCTTGTGGGTGCTGAGGATTGAACCCAGGGTCTTGCACATGCAAGGTAAGAGATCTACCACTAAGCTGTGCCCCTAGCTTCTATGCTATTTAGCATAAAGGACTTGAGCATCTATGGATTTTGGTATCTGAGAGGGTCCTAAAACATACAGACATTGAGAGATGATTGTACTTTATTGGAACAGATGAGACAAATAGAAAATCTATCAAGATATAGATTTAGATATTAACTATATCAGAAACTTCACTGAATACACATGGCCTTCCCAATTAAAAGGCAAGACCCAGCTATATGCAGCCTATAAGAAATGCACTTCAAATACAAAAAAAAAAATACATGAATAAAAAATACTATGCAAATATTAATCAAAAGAAAGCTAGAGTAGATTTATTAACATTAGACAAAGTAGGTTTTAAAGGAAAATATATTACCAGGGATTAAAAGGTAATTTCATGATAGTACATGAATCAAAGAGGACATAACAACTCTGAATATTTATACACCTAAAAACATAGTCTCAAAATATACAAGGCAAAAACCTACAGCACTGCAAGGAGAAATAGAACACACCACCCTTGTAGCTTTCAATACCCCTCACCCAATGATGAATAGTACAAGGCATAAAGTGCAAATTCACTATCAAAATGTTCCTTATCCTCAAAGCAAAGTCTAACACTGTGTTCAGTAATGAACTCCATGGCCCCACTCGGTAAACCTTTTTTTGGCAATGATCACTGCAAACCACAAAGAAACCTCCTCACTGTAGCCTTCAGGACTGATGATGGCTTCCCTCCAGAGAATATGGCCAAAGCTCTGATTCAGAAATCCAAGTCCTAGATCCTACATTGAAAATTATTACAGCTCAAGTTAAGTTTTAGCTTTTCTTGATCTCAGTTACATGGATTATATGACGAAGGTGCTGAGCTAGATTACTATTAATCCTTCCCTATGGTTGGAATGTTTGTGTCCATCACTGAATTCTTATGTTCAAATGCATAGTGTGGTGGTATTGGGACAGACTCCATAAGAATGGGGTTATTGCTTTTACAAAAGAGGCCCTAGGAGAGCTTCCTTGCCCCTTCCATCAGGTGAAGATGTAGTGGGAAAAAAAGGGTATGAGCCAGGAAGCAGGCCATCTCCAGACCTCTGTTGGTGCCTACTCTCAGTTTTCTCAGTCTTCCAAACAGTGAAAAATACAATCTTGTTGTTTACATGCCACTCAGTCTACAGTATTCCATCATGGCAGCCTAAGCAAACTAAGACATCCTGCTTCTGGCTTTTGTGTTTCCGACTTCAATTGCACCATGAAGAACATTACATAAAGTTAGGTACTGCCTTGAAGTTCCTGGAAAGCCTGTTTCACTGCTCTAAGGAGAAGTGTCAGTGTCCAATTCTAAGAGTTTAGATGGCCCTGTCAGACAGCTGCCCTGAGACCGTCACTTTTTTTTTTTTTTTTCCAGTGCTGGGGATTGAACCCAGGGTCTTCTGCATGGTAGGCAAGTGCCCTACCCCTGAGCCACATCCCCAGCCAGAGATCTGTGACTTTTAAGACAGAATGGACACTACACATTCCTATGAAAAAGGTGTTCATGGCATTCTTTTAATTTCTCTTCTAGGGCCTCCAGTGCCCAGTGTCCCCACCATCTGTGCTGTGACCTAAAGCAAGGTTTCAGTGAGACCTACCCGAGGAGGAACAGCCTGCAGGGCGGTGATGTAGTTCTCCAGGGCCAGTCGGCGGCGGTCATTGAGCATGGCTTCCACTCTGGCCATGTGTGTCTCCACCAGCTGCTGCCTCTCATTGGCTGCTTCCTGTTCCAGAGATTCCACTTTCTCCTGGAAATGCTGCCATTTTGAAAACACACATCAATCAGGAACAGAACGAGGAGGATGGTGGCAAATTCAAATCTTTTAGAAGAGATATTCTATTGCATTTTTCTTCAAGTGATTAAAAACTATTCCAGAGGGTGCACAGTCACCCCAACATTGACTAATTTTACACATTTTATAGGTTACCTCCTCTTCCTGTATTCTCCATCTCCCAACCAAATTAATTTCTCATTGAAAATCAGGATTTTATAGACTCCTTCAAGACTCATTTCACTGATAATGACTGATACTAATGTCAGATCCATTTATATATTCTTGAAGCTCTTGCATTTCATATTTTTAAAAAATTCCTTTCTTCTGAAATTATTTTAATTTATGCAAATGGCCATAGTAATCTCTCTGTTTATGTAAGGTAATTTGAATGCTGATTTCAGACCCAAATTGCAATACTTGGATAATTTTCCCAGGGGGAGAAGTACAACAATTAGGGCAACCAAAGAGATGCATTATTAATAAAAAGTAAACTGCAAGTAACAATAAGTTTTATGGCAATGAATTATAACTTGAAATAGTTGGGAGCAAATGTAAGGCAGGGTTTCAACAACCCAATAACTAGACAACGATTAGGAAAAGCCTAAATTTATGGGAATATGAACAATCATGCATGGGGTTCCAGCAGATGCTGGCCAACCTGCAGGCCCTCAACAGACAGGTTGTCGGCAGGTCCTGCTTGCTAGGGAGTGGGTTCAGATTTTACCTGGATCACTGCCTTCTTATCAGCTTTGGGCAAGTTCTTTGCTTGACGTTCTGCTTCTTCCCATTCTCTCATGACCTGCAAAAAAGAACAAAACACTTTTATCATCAGTTCTTCCTTCAAATACAGCTTTAACTGAATGCTTTATAGTAATTTTCTCCTGTTTTTGTTACTGTGAATACAAAACAAAACAAAAATAACTATTGCATACTCATTCTTACATGAATAATATTTGACCTCCCATGAAGATGTAAATAATTTATCATAGAAGTATACTTAACATAAATGACTTTATTTACTGCAGGCAGGCAGCCTTTTGAAGTATGATTGTTCTTTTTTGTTCCCCCCCTCAAAAAATGGCCAGAAGTCATTTATTTGATGTGAAAAAATACTAAACTGTTCATAAGAGGCATATACTTCCTGAACAAGGAATTAAATAATTAAACACACTGGTCTTAGCCTTCTATAAAAGCAAGTTAAACATTTCAACTGCGGCATTTGTAGAAGAAGGAGGAGCCAACATAACAACCTATGTATGTGTAAATGTCATGAACACAATACAAAAAAAAAAATAAAAAATAAAGCACATAATGGGGGAAGATACAGAAGACTTCAGTCATTTGAAATCCTATGATCTACCCTTTATGAGAACTGATGAGCAATTAGGGCCTTCTGCTTGCCAGCATGAATTATGCATAGCAAGGATTACTCTGAATCCCCCAGAAATTCTAAGAAAATATAGATTATAACATTCTGAATGCAGCAAAAATCAACACTAATTTAGTAACAAGGTGAATCTAATTTGTTAGGAAATAAAACTTCCTGGTCTCACTCTTGATGTCCAGCCACCTGGACTTCCTGAGAGAAACTCACACATTCAGCAGACCACAAGGCCTAAGTCTATAGCTGTGTATCTTGTTGGACAAAAATATCAGTTTCTCACCATCTATGGCTGCCCTTTCCTTTCTAAGTGTTCTACGAGCTGTCAAGGGAGTTTAAGTGTAAC